AATCAAATGCAAAGCCGGTTTAACAACATTTCTAAAATGTTAACAATTGGCTCTTGTGAGCCCATACAAGCAGACTCAAAATGCCAGGTCTCTCTAATTCCAGAATGTGGGAATGTAAAAATTTTGTTGTTTTCCTCTCACTCTAAACTGCTTACAGGAGAAAGAAGAAATATAAAATGTAAGTCATGCCTACCTTCAGGGGAATTTTGATCTAGTTCAGGAGATAAAGCTAACCCTGAAATAATCTAGAGTCCCCCATCTCCCCATCTCTGTAAATAACCTTCCGCCTAGTTCTCAAGCAAAAGAGGAGTAACCCTTGATTCCTTCCTATTTCTCAACTCCCTTGTCCAATCTAGAAAGAGTCTTACGGATCCATTTCCAAAGTGAATCTTAAACCACCCACTTCCCTTCATCCCACGGCAGTGGTCCTAGTCCAGCCCTTCTCTCACCCCATTCCCCCTCCAGGTCTCTAAATTTTCTCAGATGTTCCTCACCATTGACTTCCACCAGTTATTTCTTCTCTCCATCCCTAAGCACTTTACATGGTTAGCTCCTTCTCAGGCTTCAGATACCTATTTAAATGTCACCTCCTTATAGAAATCTTCTCTGTCTATCCTAAAGTAACTCTCCTTGCCTGACGAGTAATTCCCCATCCCATCAACTTATTAATTATCACATTATGTTTACTTGTTTATGGCTTGCCCCTCCCCCCACAGACAAAATGTAAATTCCATAAGGGTAAAAACTCTTTTTATGCCTTGTTTTTCTCTATGTCTTTAGCCTGGCACAGTGCTTAACACATAGTAGGCATTAAATAAATATTTGTTAAAGTGAATGAATGAATAAGCAAATGAATGAAACAGGTGAGTTGAAGACACTTCAAACTTTGACATTTCAAAGTTCCCTTTGGCTTTAACATTTTAGGAGTCTGTGGCTTTAAAGGTGTAATTTTGTACCTTCTGATATGGGTCCAGCTCTTTAAGTAGAGCAGAATTCAGTGGGGAGGCAGATGAATGAAGGCACCAGCAGTCAGCAGTAGTCAGGGGTGACTCCCTGGAGGAAGTGGTAAATTCAAACAGATTTTTCCAGCCTTTATAATTACTTAGGCAAAAGGCATCTGTCACCTTACAAAATGTTTCATCCTAATCTTCATTTCAATTGCCAGCTACTCAACTTCATTTCAAATATGATTGTGTTTATAAAAACTTGATGGGCACACTTTTCAGGAACATCTTACTTTTCAACTGCCGTGTCCTTAAATGTCCATGTGGAGGGGGTTGGGGGGAGTGGGGGTATGCATTGATTACTGGGTTTAATTTGACACAGATAAAGGATGTGCAGAATGTGCCTAGAGGTTAGACTCGACCCCTTTGGCTGCCTTGATATCTGAAGGAAGGATCTGTTCCACACCTCAGAAAAGACCCACTTAGGACAGGAAGTGAGTCATCTGTGTTCCACAGAGGACATGTCACAGGTTGGACTACACTAAATGTGAAACAGATTAAACTGGAACGAAATCATGACATATTTGTTCCCTCCCACACTGTGGGACATTTCATAACCCCTTGGTACTTTACCCTAAAACTTTCTGGAGAGGTCTTCAGAATCACCTTTCTTACCCTCTAGTTCTATGAAGGGGGAAACTGAGACCCAGACAAGAGTGGTGTCTTGTCCCAGTTCACCCAGCATATTTAGAGCAGAGCCAGCATCCTTAAATGTTCTGTAGGAACATATACATACAAGGTGAGTCTTTAAAGAAAAGAACTGTTTTGTTCTTTTGCCCAATTTTAATTAGTAACTTAATGAACTCTTTATTGATATTTCATAATTAAAAAATAAAATTTTAGCACTAAACTCTAGTTATTTTGGGGTCCTAGGACACCCCAAAGGAATCCAGGTTAAAATAACAGAAGAGGCCCTCCTCTCTCTGAGGTCGCCTGCACTTTCTAAGTGTGGAACCTTTTAATCTTAAACTTTTTCTCTCCAAATCTATCAGGGCGCCTCTCTTTGCTGAAGTGGCTGTACTTCTTCTCTCTTTAAGTAACTTTAAATAAAACTTACTCTGCTTCAAAAAAATAAAATAAAATAAAGGAAGAAATCTTCATGTAATGAAATATTAGACAATGTACAAATTCATAACCAAAGGTAAGTGTTATTTTACCTATCAGGAAAGAACCATACCATTTTAAAAACAACAAAAAGCCAATTCTTCTCATTTTAATCTCTGTAGTTAAGATTTAGAAATGATCTCTTGAGGTTTTCAGCAATTTAAATTTGTTTGAGATGTGAAGGCCATGGAAGGACAAGCCAATCTGCTATATTGTTACATAGGAAGTATTGGAAAAGCTGTATCTTAAAAAAAGAGAGAGGAGTTTGTGTGAGTTTTTTCATCTGTCAAATGATCAGTTAGAGTTAAGAGAGTAACAGTGTTTCAAGACACATATATTTAAACATCAGCAAACAGGCAAACAGGAGTCATTTTTTCAATGTCTTTATATCTGGTCTGAAAAGATGCAACCAGGCCTTCTCAAACTAGTTCCCCTGTTCATGCTCCTGGATCCATCCTTCTCCTCAGCCCCTGCAGGCTTCTGGGTCAGAGCGCTGAGCCTGCAGTCAGGACCACTCTGCAGAGACCACCATGAACCAGCCTGGGAAACAGATCAGTGCTTCTGAAACTTGGGGTGTCTAGGAATCATCTGAAATGCCGTTCCTGGGCCCACTTCCAGAGCATCTAATCTCATAAATTAGGAGGATGGGTCCTAAGAATCAGCATTTGAACCAGGACTCCTATTGACCCTGATACAATTCAATGGTGGAACAAACATACCCAAACCCTGCCAGCTGTGGACAACTCTTCCTCCTCTCTCTGAGCCTCGATTTCCCATGTGTGGAGTGAGGACAGTGGATAAGGGTCATCTCTAAGTTCTCTTCCAGGCAATGGAGCTCTTATGACTTGGAACGGGCTGGGCTCCTGCCTCGCTCTGGGTCACCTCAGTAGCCTACACAGGCCCTGTGCTTATAACAGCATTGAACCCAGTTGCAGGTGCTCATTCCCACAGAGCTCACTGTGAACTGTGGACGGGTTCGTGGGCTCCCTCTCAGTTGCACCCGCTGCACGCCATCCATGATGTGTTTCTCTGCCTTGCTCTCTTCCTCACGATTGCAGGTCCTCAGATGGTGCCTCCCACCCACCACCTGTCCTTAGGCCAGAATGTCTGGGAATTAATTGCTTCGTACTCTAGACCTCTTCCTGCCTTGGATCTAGAGCCCATCACACCTACCCCTTCGAGTCCACTACACAGAAAGATACTCCAGATTAATCACATTGAACTACACAGGAAACACTAAACCAGAAAAAAGAGTGAGTTCCTTAAAGATAAGGGATGCTAGGCAAAGAAGATGTTCTTTTTTCCTTCCTGAAGATAGTCCGAAGATTACATAAAGCAATCACAACGTTTTTCTTTAGCATTTGTACTCACAATTGGAGAGCCTGCGGCTGCAGCTTGGCCTGAGAAAGAGCTTGTTCCCAGCCTCTGGCTCCCCTAGGTGCTTCTGGCTCCTTCCAATGCTCTGCAGCTGTGACATGCACTGGCTCTGGCTGCTCCTACTTCTAATTAGAAGCTTTTCCCCACTAGGCTCAGGTGTGCCCACCAGGCCCTGCCTAAGGTCAAAAACTTCCACACTTGCCTCAATTGCTTCCATGTCTTGACTCCAGAGTCAAGCATTTGAAACCCTCTTAAGCCTTTCATTTTAAGCTCCTGGAAGTTATTCAACTTTGTTTCTTCATCTTCCTCTAATACTTATACTCCTATTATCCCCTATCAGGTGTAGCTGCTAGGGCTATTGACCGGCTAACTACTTACATGACAGGAAGAGAGGATCCCAGGGGGAAAAACACCAGGTACCAAAGACTCTCAATTTCTCCAAGAGCAGCTGGAAGGCCCATTGGCTGGGGCCTCTTGTAGGGCAGGGATGCTCATCGACCGAAGTAGCACATTCAAGTTTATTCAGCATTTATTGGCTGAGGGTATACACTTAGCCCTCCAATCCCAGCTGGAACTACTTATGATATGACATGTTACAAGAAAAAAGATTTCATAGAAATTATGGTTAAAATGAATCAGCATTGTTAAATGGGGTATGCCAGCAATTAACTTCCCTTCTCATTCTTCATGAGGCAGAGCAACTGGTTAACAAGAGATACGCAGTGTTCCCAAACTGAACTGACATAATTTCAGATAAAGACAAAAAATTTGACACATTCATAGCTTCTATGGCTTGAAAATTAGTAAATGGACGATTTCTGGTAGGCTTTTTGAAACACTGAAAATACTTTGAAGACACACTTTGCTGGTTTTGCCACAGCACCAATTCCCCCTGCTTCTGGGCACAGTGCCCTGGCTTTCCCATCAGGTACACTCCCCCCAGTGCAGTGCCTAGACATCCCCCAGCTCCAGAGATGGGTTTAGACCAAAGTCAACTGGAGTCTATTTCCCCTTTGGCTACAACGGCTGTTAACTGACAGTGACCTTCAAAAGATAAGCCCAACACTTGTTTGAAAACATCAGGGAAGCAATTGTTTTTCATTTTCATCTTCCCTGGGGTTGCTACCAGCCACATTGCCACCATGAGGGGCACCTAAGCACAGAATTAACACAGAAGGAAGAAGAGATGAGAGATGGCGAGCCGAAGTGACAACAGCCCAGAGCCGTGGTTGTCAAACCAGGGAGCCAGCTCTGCCCCCAGTAATACTCTTTTTTTTGCTATAGCCAATTTTGGTTGGGCTTTTGCCACTTGCAATCAAATAATTCTACATAACCCCCCCCAACCCCACCCCCCGCACCAGCTCAAATTTGTTATTACTTAAACAGATTTCTGAGCTCTGAGGGTCCCTGACTGGAATCTTTAATCAAGCACCAAGGACATCATAGATATGTGTTTGTAACACCTGCACAATCTAAATCCATATCTAATTCAAATCTCAGTCTCAAATTCCTTAGATCACTGATTCATATTTATTGAGCACCTGCCATGTACAAATTCTCCTGGGATCTGTGGGAAGCCGGATGACTGCCAGCCCCGCCATTCATACTGACTGGTAAGAGCTAAGAGGAGGAAAGGGGAGGGACAGGATCTTCTGGTTGGGAATCTGGGAAGCTTCATAGAAGAATTAGTTCACTGAAGAGAGGCCTTGAAAGAACTGAGTCAAGATGATATGGACTTGAACCCATGTTCTGCCTCCTGCCCCAATATTCAGCTTAAACCCAACAAGGGTCAATGCTAATGCAGGGTCAGGCCCTGAAGGAGCAGGGCTGCTGCTATTGATCCCCCAAGCCCTGCAAATGGATTTGGGGGGCCTCAGGTGGGAATGGGGGCTCAGGCCACCCAGAGTACATTGGAGGAATCATAAGACAAGGGCTACATGCCTGTGAATTCACCTCAGAAAATCCAGGAAATTATAAAACAGTAGGATATCTCAGAATCACAAAATGTCAAAGCTAGTAGGGACCTTGGGAATTAATCAGTCTGCTCAATGACAGATAAGAGCCTCGAAAACTGAACAGGTCAACGAGCTGTCCAAGCTCACTCCTGCAGAGTCATTCCCAGGACCCAGGGCTCCAGGACTCTGACCAGCGGAAAGGAGGATATCATCATTATTTCAATTGCATCCCAGCAGGAGTGAGAGAAGGAGTCTGGAATTGAATTTTGATAGAGGCTGTCCTTTTTACTTGGATGGATTCCTGCACCTTGCCTCGCTTCAGCACTTCTTTGGATTTTTAACATGAGGTGAGCTTCTCCTGGGGCTACCAAGCAGGCCTGGAGGACTTTCATTGGCCTTTCAGCCAGTGGCCACTGTTTCATCAACTTTTTAGCCAATAACCATGAAATCCCCAGAAGAAGGCCCTGCTGGGGACACGCCCTTCCTCGAGCTCCATGGGGAACCTCATGGGATGTGGCTGCAGCCCTGCATTGGTCTTGTTGCTCGCCAAGCCACTCCTGCAGAGTCACTGTAGGAATAATTATTCTAAATACAAAAAGGAAGGCCGAGGATATGCCTATGAGAAGGTTTCTTTTAGAAACACGAAGGGTCCTAGGCTGGGGTGAGGAGGGAGCTGCCTTATTTTTTAATACTCTTAGCTTTCCCTGGTGCCATTTTACCATTCACACCCATTTTCATGTGACTTTTTAAAAAACCTTGTGAAAAAGGCAACACAGGGCTAAGTTATCCCCATTGCCCAGATGAAGTAACTGAGACTCAGAAAAGGGAAGGAACCTGTCCCCTGTCACCTATCTAAGAAGTAGAAGAACTGGGACTCATTTTATAATATCAGAGGGGTCTTTCTTGTCCACAGCCAGTTCTGAATCACTGCTAGGGCTGAAAAAGGATGAGAAGCCAGGGGACTTTGTGGGAGTGGCAAGGGAATAAAGGTAGGAGATTCTTTGTCCTGTTTCATGAGCCATACCTGACATTCATAGCAAAGCTATACCATTCTAAAAACTCTGACGTCAGTAATAGGCTGTACTAGAGGTAATGTTATATCATGGAAATTAGCAACAGACAGTGGATGATGAATGAATGACTTTTGCTCATACATTAATTTAGTGTGCAAGCACTGCTGATGTGTTAGCTGGGCACTGAAGATGGACCAGAGATCATGTCTAAGCTCTGGTCTCTGTCCCAGAAGAACACACATTCTAATAGGGGAAGAAACAGACACACAAATGATCACACACCATGACAGAATCCAGAGCGCAGACAGGTAGATGTGCTCTGGAAGTCCAGCAGAGGAGGCTATGACTAAGTGTCCTTCCCTTGTGATCAAACTTGTAACCTTCGGCTGGCATGAGTTTCCCTAGGTAGCCGGGACTGGCATGACTCATCTTTCCCTCCCTATCAGACATTATTACACTGAGAACAGCCGGTATCACCAGTTAGTGCTTGCTGAATAAATTCTCCTGGAGGAGTCATGATTCTGCAGTGCAGATGACCTGGGCCATGTGTCTGAGCCTGCAGAGCCCTCCAGCTACCTGTCCTAGGAAAGGACCCTAGCCGTCACAGCCTTCCCTGGGATCTGTGCTCAGAATCAGCTGGCCCTGGAGTCCTCGCTCACCTGCCACAGTTATCTTAAAAGGTGGAGTGAGATCAAGGCGCAGAGAACATGACAGTGTCTGTAGCCCTGCTCATCCATCAGGACAAGAACACCTCACCTTGAACAAGGGAGATAAGAGAATAAAATAACACCTGACACAGCCTTATCACCTGATAATAAAACCTCCATTTTTTTTCATTAAAATAACTGAGAGCCATAGTCCTGTACATTGGCTGATAAAGAGATCACAGGAAACAAAGCTATTAATTTTTATCTCTGCTGTGCAATAGCACATTTCAGTAAATACAATATATCCAAGGGGGGGAAAATACTTTCTCTGATGGTGGAAGTTGACTGTGAATGTTTTCTTCTTTCAACTTTCATTTCTCACACCTTGTTCATCCACTAACCTCTAGGGATTTTTTAATCACAGATGACTAAGCACAGGGATCTGGCTCTGCTCTTACCATTTTGTATTGTTATGACTCTCTCTCTTTCCTTACTCTACCCCCATCTTTGGAGAGCTTGGTACAAATATTTAGAATACAATTTAAAGAATTTGAACCATTTAATTGCCTCTCTAGTCTCAATAGTCCCATCTTTGAAATGAAGAGTTAGACAGTTGGTCTCCAGAATGCTTTCCAGCTTCAGTACTCCTGGATCCCATGCCTGAAGAGGACACAGAGCAGGTCAGTTTTGATGGTAAGAGCAGTCTTTCTAAACACAAGGATTGCCAGATGATAGTAGAACCAGGCAACCACCACTCCTGCTCTGGGCCCCACTCTTTAGCCCTGCTCTGGGCCCCACTGGGGCAGAAAGTCCTTGGGGCCCATACACGTGAATACCTGGAGCCCACAACCCCCTTCCAGAGCAAACCCTGGGTACCTGGGAGCCTGGAATTGCCTGTGCAAATGGCCCAGTGTCTGCTTCCAAGCCCTACCTGATCACTCCCCTGGCTCCTTGTCCCTGGAAGAGGTCACTGACCCAGGGTGAGCACCCCCAGGACTGGGGCATGGTCCAGGGGTGAGGGGTATGATTGATGCTGTACCTCCACATCCTGCTCTTCCCTGTCCTTAGGAAGACTTGGTTGGAAAGGGGCCAGGGCATTTGTCTTTGGGATGCCAATGCCATCAATGCCAGTGGGCAGCAGTGTCCCAGATAGAAAAGGGGGGCTATATCCAGCAGCCTCCATTTGTCCTCTGCAGCTGCTGGGGTGGGGGACTAACTGCCATAGAACAGCTTCAGAATAAAGTTATTTCAGTACTGGTTTCCTTACCTTTAACACCCAATCTACTTATGAAAAAAACAAAAACAAAAAACTGGAGGAGGCTTATAATAAAAACATCAGATAGCTAAACATACAAACCCACTACTGCATGAAAAAGGGGACAATCATGTCAGGAACCTCTGATGCAATTGTTACTACATTGAAGAAAGAAACAGTGCTGAGCCTCCTGACTGCCAAGGCAAAAAAAGAAAAGTAATGAGTTACCTGGCTTTCACTACGTGACCAAAAGTACACATACTCATTCTTCAGAGGAGACACCTTTTTTACTGGGTAGAAAACTTTAGGAGAAGTTTTATCACCTGCATCCTTACATGGTACACAAAAAGTCACACAAGGACCCATCTTCAACAGCAGTCTTCCAGGCAGTGCAGAATCATTCTCCATACAACCATTTACAATATTGCCACTTGATAAAAATCTGAGGATGGGGTATTTTTTTAAAAGTTGCCATTAAAAGAAGTCATTACCTTAGGAACCTAAGCTAATACCATCTACCTGACCAAAATTGATACAAGAATATACCTCAGAAAAATCAAAGGAATGGACCATTTAGACAAGCACTTCTCAGATTTCTCCACCTAGTATTCCTAATGTCACCCAATGACAGAGAAAAACGAAATGATTCTCTGTGAGATGTGGAGATGAAGGATCAATCATGCCCCACTCCATCTCTGGGGAAAAGTGAAATTTATCTTTAAATGTTTTTCAATTTTAACTTGCTGCTTTGTAATAAATGTCCTTATTTTAATATAAAATAAGCTTCCCCAAAATCTTTACTAAAGTTGATATCACAATGGCTTTGCATATTCCCTGGCACTATTTAGCATCCCCAATGTTTGGTAAACCATGGTTAGCTTATATTGACTCATATTTGTCCTTTATAACAAACTGATGAGGCAGGTACTATACATTTTCATGAATGGAGAAGTTGAAGAACAAAGAGATTAAGTAACGTCCCCAATAGCACATTGTACCAGAATACATAACACTTGAATGAAACCCAGATCTCCTGACTATTAGGCCCATCCCTTTATCTGGCTTCCATAATGTGAATTTCATCATTTAGGAAATAAGCAAGGAGTGAATTAAACGGTACAGCTAAGGTTTCTGACGTTGCATTACTGAAGCAGGATGCCCACCGAGCCTACAGGGCCACTGCGCCAGGCATCTGATGTCCCTACATATTCCACTCCAGCATCAGTAAATGTCTTCTGCTTCGTTGCCAGATTCCTCCAGAAGATGAGTCACCCCGCGCTCAAACCTTTCTTTATAATCAGTTCATACATCATCAACTTAATGAGCCTGGAGCAGGAAAGAGTCTTCTCCCAGAGCTCCGCAGCAGACGTATCAAACCCTTAACAACAGTGATGGTTAGTCATCTCTTCTCCATGAGACAGCCCATCAATCCTGAAAGCTGTAGGATGCAATGAGCAGGCTAGAGGGACAGAAATCTGGCATCCTGAGTCCTTGTCCGGACTCTGCCACTGGATGGTTATGGGAAAAACCACTTAACCCATTGATGCCAGGTGTGCCAGAGAATGATAATGAGAAATGTCTAGGAAATAATGTCTAGGAAACCTTTTGAGCTCCTCAGAAGCAAGAGGCTGCATAAACACAAGGTATTACTACTTCCAAGACTGCCTCAGCCAACAACATCACAGTTAAGTTTCCTGCAGGAACCTAACCTCTTCTCACCCTGCTCATGAAAGGGATTGTCTGATCCTTCAGCTCCTTGAGTTCGGGGGAGTCGACCATTTGGTTAAAGGTGAGGAGTGCTGTTGAAGTGAAGACTTAGATCTTAAAATCACAGACTCTCGTAGCTGAAAAGGCTATTAGCAATTTAGCCTTTTTATTTATTTACAGAAGCTGAGTCCAGAAAGGTTCCTATGTAACTCACCATTCCCTGAAGGCCTGCTAGATATTAGGTAGCTGCTGGGGTAAGCGGATGGCTGGGATCTGGTCTTTGACCTCACGGAAATCTCCACCTTGTAGGGAATACAGGCACATTCACAATGTACAGATGATGCTTTCATGGGCATTATTGCAAAGTGTCACCAGGATCATGACACAGAGACTGAGCTGAAGTCACCCTGCAGGCACGTGTCCTTGGGCAAATTGTTTCAACTTTGAGTTTCAGAAAAATGGAAACAAGAGCAATGACATCACTCTCTAAGATTTTTATTATGTTTGACAGCTTCCTAATAATTTCATGACCACTGGCTGATTTAATTCTTACAAGAAAGCAGCAAAGGAAACATTACGATTCTCTCTCCTCTATAGAGGCCAAGCCTGAGGTGTGGAGAAATGGAGTCGCAGGCACGTGGCCCTGCCCTGGCCCCCACATGGGCCATCGGGAAGAGAACTAGGAAGCTAACTGAACTTTAGTCGCTAGCAGCCTACCTCTCTGGGGATGAGCATCAGGGATCCCTGAGGTCCTAGCATTAAAGTTCTTTAGATCTACAAACATATCAAAGGGTTGAAGGCTACCTGGTACAGAGGAGGCATCTGAGAAGTATTTGTTTTGATCAGAAAACTGTGAGAGGAGTCAGTATTTTGTCCCTCTAAACTCAGACTAGTAAAACATTTCTTAATTCAAAAGACTTACTATGTTTTAGTAAGAACTTCATAATATTTTATATTTTAATATTTTAAATGATATAAACAGAACATGAATATGTTCTTACTGCAAAAAATCCAAATATCTGGAAGCAAGTGTCCCTTTAACTGCCCCTTCCTAATCCCAAACCCTCTCCTGCCAACTCTCAACCCTTCTCCCCTTGTCCCCACCCCATTTCCCCCTGTTAGTACTGATCAGAATCCTTTTAGCCCTTCACTACATACAACTAATTGTATGTGCATATAGAAATGCCTCTATTTATTTGGCAGTTTGTTTCTTATATAAATGGTCTAAAGTGATATATATTGTTCTACAATTTTTTTTTGACTTAACATGTGGTGGAGATCTAGCCATGGGAGCTGCCTTTGATGTACTGTATTCCCTGGTGTTTCATACCATCACTATACCAGTTAAGCTATTCCCCTCTGCACGGACCTTAGTGGTCTCCATCATCTTCTCTATTATGTACAATGCTACAATGAATATGCCACCTTAGAAACACTCAAGCACACACATACACAAACACACACAGTGCTGTATATTACAGTTTAAAAGAGAGTTGCCAAATTTGACTCCAAACATATGCTGCTTTACAGACCAATAGCAGCATATGAAAGGACCAATTTTCTTACGCCCTTGCTAAACCTTGATTTTTGTCAAAAGTTTTGGCTCAAAGTTTTTTTGCCAATCTGATAGTAAAAAGAATGTGCATTGCTGATGTTAATTTACATTTCAAATCTATTTCCTTTTACAATGTGAAATAATAAAAAGTGCTAACACTTCAAGTTAGTCAACCCCACTCAGCCTCACTTTTCTGCCTGTAGAATGGGGGTAGACACTACTTGGTCTTTGTTCAGTTTGTGTAACGTTGTCATGAAAATGCCTCATAAACGATTAGCTCTTTCAAGTATTAGTTATTGTATGACTTTTATAAGGTGAACATGATGCTCAGTGAGGTGGGTTACGTATTCCCAAGCACCAGTAAATGTTGTCCTATAGCTATACCACCTCCTGTCTTGTGTTGGAATGTTTGGCCCATCTTTCTTAGCAATCTGACAGACTAGGACTTTGAGCTTTTGTTTATTTATTTGTTGGTTGGCTTGGGGTTTTGTTTGTTTGCTTGTCTCATTTTTTATTTAATAGAAGCACACGCAGAATAAGGCCTGGGTTAGCCTGATCAACAGTAGGACATCGTGTTACTAAACCCAGACCTCCACTTCCAGGGAAATGCTCCAGGCTCTTCTAAGTTCACTTCTACTGTCACTACTGCACTGTTTGCTAGAGAGAAAAAGCACTCCCTATTTGAAGAGATGGAAGGTTTGCTAAGCCTAACACACAATCAGATTTATTACTAGACATGGGAGCACTGTGGAGGCACAGAGGACATTTTTCATTTTTTGGCCTCTGGGCTGCATTTCCCTTTCCTGGTAGCACACCACTCTCTATCCACAGGGTCTGCGTGGGCCTCATCCCACCCTGGGGTCGGGGGTGACATGACCCAGGCCTATCTCAATTAGCCTACTGCCATCTCCAGCCCTAATGACTGGTGGATAGCAGGGCATGTGCTACAAAAAACCTTGGGATCAGAATGAACCTTGGAATTTTTGCAGAGAAAGCAGGGAAAGAGTACTTTCATATTTCCCATGGCACATGGTCTTCAAAGGATTTAGTTCTGGAAACTTCTAATGACCTTCTTGAGGGAAAAGAGAGTCTTAGAAGGAAGGTAATACAAAGGAAGAGGGCCTAAGAGATGGAGAGAGCAGAACCAGACCCCAAAAACATTGCCAACATCAGATGTCCCCCTGGGCATCTCAGTCACACAAGCCAAGAAACACACCCTACCTAGACACACTCTTTTAAAACTTTTTTCTGCATATGATGTTCTATCATTTGTAATACCTGATGCTGGTAGAACTACCCATACACATCCGTGCTCAGTGTTTGCCTCTGTACATGGGAGGTAGCATGCATCATGGCAGAAGCCTAGTCCTGGAAGGCAGCCGAACTAGGTCTGTCACTGGCTTTGTCTCTTTGGGCTTCAGTTTACAGAGTGTAAAGTGAGAGAGTTGAACAAATAAGCTTGGGACACCTCACTGTTCTGACACTCTGAATCTGTAAACCTGAAACACTTGGTGCTCTTGTGACTATTGGAAGCTGCGACTGTTGAATACTGACTGTTTGAAGCATTTCATTCATTGTGTTAAAGGAAGGCTTAAGTGGCCACCAATGGAGGGGACCTAAAGAACATAAAACAATTCAGTTCTCTGTATCTCCACCAGAATTGGCTCCAGAAGAGGGTCAGGCTTTGCAAAGACACAAATCATTTTTCCCTTTGGGCTCCTTGGGAAAAGCTCTCAGGACTAAGGAGTGTGTCTCTCACTATTCATGGCTTGCCAGTGAGAACAGCCAAGAAGGAGAAGAGGTCACACGGCCAAGCCTGCTGCCAGCACAGGATGTTCTATCCAGCCGCTGGCTGGGCAAGGAATAAGACTGCCCAACCCCTACTGAAGCTTCCTATAAAAGGTGGGCCCAGGAGGTGCCAAAACGTATTCTGCAATAATCTCTTACAAAGGTGCCTAGAACTTCATAAGATTCAAATTCAACAATTGTTGGTTGTGTTCACTATGAAGTGGACATTATGTGAAGCATTATGCCAAGCATTTTGTATGCCTTCTTTTTTTAAAACTCACAACAACCTTACTGCACCCTAATATCACCTCCAGTTGTTATAGGAGCTAAAGTTCAAAGAGGTGAAGTTGAAGTAAACTGCCTAGGGTCCCACAGCAACAGAGCTCCAGTTCATTTCCCTGCCCTGCATGGCTGCTTTGCCTCCTCTCCCGGCCCTCCACTGGGCTGCGTACAGGATCCACAGACATGCGGGCCAGAAGCACGTGTACCGGTCATTGCCCTTCTCTCAGCTGCTTTTGTTAATGTTCTGGAATGGAGTGTTCTGGCCATTAATGTGCATGTCACTTCATTGACTGGACTGTGAGTTCATCAGGGCCTGTGTGATCCAGCTATGTAGCTCCCAGAGTTCCCTGTACATGAGAGGAATGTGAAAAGCAGCCCTCTCTGGCCCAGCTACTCACCCCAGAGGGGGCCTTAACTCAACCAGGGTCACAAACTGGAGCAGGCAGGCAGTGGAAACACAGGAAATTCCAAGCCAGGTATGAGATGGTAGGAAATGGTAGGAGGCTGAGGGAACAAAATGTTCAGGACCTGCCTAAGGCATTCTGGACCAAACGTTCAGAAAGACTAGATGCCAAACAAAACACACAGACCAAGCCCCAGAGCAATGGCATACAGCCCCCACTGCGATTCTACCCATGACCATTCAGCGTGGCATGGACTTGATGAGCGGCTTTCCCACCCTGGAATACTAGTTTTCCAAGACAAGAGACTATGGCTGAAAGGTTCCATATCTGGTTCTCATTTAACAAATTATGCAGCAGACAATGGGCATTTAATAAATACTTGATATAGAAACTTAAAAAAAATCAAATTATCCAAACCACTATAATTTTCACTTCATAAAGCCACTCTACAAGCCAACACTCTGTAAAGGGAGTTATTGACTCAGTTTCCACTGCTGTAGAAACCAAAATACTGATAGTGTTCAGGTGGAGAACCACCCAAATCAGGTATCTATAGGTACCATAATACTTAGAAGAGCCCTTTAGGACAATAAAATGTTTCCTTTACTGGTCCCCATACTCTAAAATGAGTGTTGTATATGCAATTCATGATTCTGTA